GAACTCCAAAGATGAATCCCCAACAAACTCATGCCAGGCCATGGCCGTTAAGATCTCCAACATAGAATTCGTTAAGATCCTAAAGAATTACTCAAGGGAAAAGAAAACGCAAACTAAGTAGTATGTTGATGAAATGGTAAACAAAATCTGTCCAATTGGGGTGCCTTCTAATCACCAATGTACCTTCCATTTCTAATTCTGTCGTGCCAAATTCTTGCAGAGAATAAGAATTTTTTATTTTTTTATTTTTTTAGGATGAGAGAAGAAATTGAAGTGGGTTTTTCAAAAAGATAAATGTTCTTGAGAATTGTATTGTTCTTGAGCACTGTGAATACTGGGATTTACCTCTCCTCCATTTTCTGTCCTTCTAGCCCTTCAGCCATTGGAAAGAGATGAGCTTCTGGTTTCTGGTTCTTGAAATAAAGAGAAGAATTTGAATGAATCATATTAATAGCTATCTTTAATTTTTTTTCATTCAATTGTAAAACCTAAAATGATCAAACTTACACATGCGATTTGAATTTTTTGAATTGTTGGTGCAGAAATGTAGATCAAAATGCAGCGCCAGCACCGACGGGGGTGGGGGGAGGTGTGGGGGGTGTTTATTGTTTTATTGTAAAATTTGTGATTTAGGCCTTCAAGTTTCAAACTTCAACTATTTTGGTCTTTTAAGTTCCAATTAAAATGAAAAGGTCCTTCAGTGACCGGTTGTGCAACCAAATGATACTTCAGTGACCGTTGGTGCAAGTTTTAAATTTCAGTGACCGTTTTGTGATTTTGACGTAACTTCAGTGACCGTTTGTGAAATTAACCCAAAGCCAAATGGATCTATTTTACGCAGCAAGTTTGGAAAATGCCCCAGAAATTTCACCGGATCCATAAACGATGGCGTATCTTCATCCAATTTCCAGGCTCATTCCCTGTGTCAAATTCTCAAATCGGCTCACAAATTCCCCCTTTGGCTCTAGTACTCCCATTCGAACAATTCGAGCTTCGTCTACAAAAATGGCTTCCGAGTCATCCACGCTCACCCATACCATCAACCTCCCCCGTCAACCCGGCCAACCAGTCACCGTCGTTGCCGCAGCTGGTGTGTCCGGCTCCGATTTCAGGTGCGCCGTTCGTCTCACTCGCTCACGTTTATTTTGTATTTGTTATTTTATACTGCATATTATGCAATTGGAGTTAATGCTGTACACTCAATTTTGCGATGCTAAAAGCTTGTGTGAGTAGACAAAATTGAATTGGTCATCTTTGAAAATGTCAAGTTTATCTTTAGATGATT